ATACCCTACATACCCTAAACCCTAAACCCAATATAATCGAAGGCCTGGGAGCGCAAGCCGGTAAGCTTTGCCATCAGGCCAGTTACCTTCCATCGTTTTGGGGACTGAGGGCTAAGGCTTTTTGGTTAGGAGTTTAGTGCGTAGAGTTGACGGTTTGGAGTTTAAGGCTATAGAGCTTTTGAGTTCAGAGTTGCGGGCTCGGAGTTGAAGGCTTAAGGCTTAAGATCTCAGGCTTCGTGGTCAAGGTATCGGGTCTCTCCATCCGAGCTGAAGGCACCGTAAAAAATGCAAAATTGTAATTTCAGCTCCTGCCTGGGATTGAAGACAGTGTGGTGGAAAACATCCAGTAATCTAAGGACCGTTTGCGGCTTGGGCTGTAGAGCTTTGAGGTTTGGGATTCAAGGCTTAGGGTTTACAGCTTAGGGGGTTTTAGATTATTCTGGAGTTTTCTACGAGTCACAATAGGACAGAGCCTCGCAGACCTTTGGGTTCCCTTCTCTTCGTCTCTTTGAAAAAGATCCTCCGCAGAGGACCTGTCCCTAGGAATCTACGTTGCAGTTAGTCCCCCTTAAGTAGAAAGAATATGGGATATATGGGGATATCAACATAATATACCCAAAGCCATATTCGATCTACTCAAGGGGGACTATACGGAGATTCCGCACCACAAGCATCAACTCCTAGGCCATATCATCGATCACCTTATCGCTTTCTGTGTCATGGCGAGCAGGCTTGCCAGTGAAGTCGTAAACCTTAAACCGTGTCGACCTAGAACTACATCATGCCTTCTCAGAGGCCTCGCCCCTTTGATAAATTGAGTCTTTGGGGTGTACCGTTAAGGGCTTGCTATTCCATAGATTGAAACAGGAGATCCATGCCACGGTTCAGGGTTTAGGGCTTAGGGAAGCCGAGGAATGCGCCAGCTTGGCTTTCACAAGTTGACCTGGGCACTTGTCCAAGGTATGGTCCTACTTGTTTCTCAAATATCTGCCTGTTTGCTGGGGCCGTATTGAAAAGCCCAAGCCCTATGCCGTCTATACCCTGAACTCTTGTTGAATTTCCCCAGTATGGTTTCGGTTAAGCTCCATCTCTAGACTCTAGAATCTAGGGACTTTAGGAGGGACCCCTGATAGGGACCCTTAATCCCATTACCATATATAACCCGTATATAGTCATTATATAACCCCTATTTCCCTAAGGTCCCTATTAGGGGTCCCTCCCAAAGTCCTTAGATAGAAACTGACCCAACTTCATCAAGTACGACCCGACCTGAAACTGGATTCAAACTTCTGCAAACCATGACCTCTAAGCTCTGAATCAGCTAACCCCATCCTATCACGAACAGATCCCCGAACGAGAATCTCTATAGCCTACACGACAAATCCTCAAATCCACAGCCTACAGTCCTAAAATCCTACAAGTGAGCGACCTAAGGCACCCCACGTGGGGAAAAGGCACCCCACGTTGGCCGAAGGCATCCCACAGGCTTCAAATCCCGATTTGTAGACGCCTTTATCACGTCTTGCTTGGCAGCGTTGCCAAAACTAACATATTGTGCGCGAGACGCAGGCCGCAGTTCTGAAATCATGGTATGCATCCAAATCTGTAGGCCCAAATTCCCATGATTCCTCATGTAGACGCCCTTATCACGTCATGCGCTCCAATGCTGCGAAAGTTCAGGCCAGAGCTCTCAAATCATTGTATGCATCCAAGTCTGTAGGCCCGAATCCCCATGTAGACGCCTTGAAACCCGCCCTACTCTCAGAAGGCAAAGGTACGCTCCCCCTCACTTCACAACGGTAGAAAAAACGTGCATGTAGGATGTGAGTTACAACGTGTTGTAGTAGTGGTAGTGGTGATGGCGGCGGTAGTGTAGAGTAGTAGTACTAACTTAAAGTAGTAGCAGCAGTAGTAGCAATAATCATAATATTAGTCGTGGTGGCGACAGTGGGCAGTAGTGGCGGTGTCCGTGGCAATAGCAGAAGCATCAGCGGCCGTGGCCGCCCTAGTCGCTGCTGCAGCACTTCCTGATTGCTGACAACAAGTAGTGCAATAATAGCACTGTGCTATACGCTAGTGCTCGTGCCAGCCTGCTTGGGGCGTTCCAGGGTGTGGTGGAGGGTATCCTGGAACGACCAGGTAGGACAAAATTTGGACCTGTGACTATTAGAGTGCCTGGGATTTAGGGTTTAGGGGTTTAGGGGTTTAGGGTTTAGGGTTTAGGAGTGGTCGATGGGGTCCGTCAGTGACCAGGTGCACAAGATCATCAGCTTCTAGTTTCGAGTCTGAACCCTAAACCCTAAACCCTAAACCCACTGATCAAGCTTCCGACCCATCCAAGCACAGGACCTCCATGTCATCGCCTCACAAGTGCTATTCGCAGAGTGGAGCTGACACTACTGTAATATAGTCTACCGTACTATAGTAAGTGTGGTATGCTATAGCACGGAGAGTATACTGGGTTGCTGTTAAGGAACTTAAATTAAGTTACCATAATGGGAAGTTAGAAATAACTGTAGCTTTTGAGCTGTGCAAGGGTGCTGAAGCGCACGCATGCAGGGCCTTTGGTTCAGAGTTGTTTGAGGTGTGTAGGGGCCTTAGCATGCCACAAGCATGGCGCCTTCTTATCACCTGTGCTGTCGCTGTTCAGCAGGGCGGCGGTTGGGGTTTCTTTCAATTCAACAGTACGAACGCGACCTCACAAACCTCCCCGGATGAGCAGGCTTCCTGGGCTCAGTTGTGGGCTTGGGTAGGCGAGAAGACTCCCGGTCTTGCCAGGCTTCGAGATGGTTGGACCTTCATTGCCAACGGCCTTGCGGCTTCCCAGGATTCTCGACGACCAACGTCGTGGGACAATGGACTCTGCATGGCCTTGGATGCAGTCATCAGTTTTTTGGGCTGGATGTTCTTTGGGAACACTTGGCCTGGAGTGAAGAGTGGGTGCCAGAGGGCTTTTCGTGTGGCTCTACTGGTGCTCCTTTGCCTATGTGCTCACTATGTGTGGGCGCTTTGCTGGCCCGTGATCTCGTTGATATCTGCTTTGGTCATGGGGTCAGTCTGGTTCGTCCGGGCCTTGGTTCGCAAATTGGGCACCTTAGTCTACTGGGCTCAGCGTGCCGCAGGTGGCGTTCCCGAGGCAGCCGACACGGAGTTCATTGGCCCAGGCACCGGCAGAATCCCAGAGACAGCGAACCTTCGAAACTTCAAGAAGACCGGAGGGACCGATAAGTGGGTTCTTGTGAGAAGAGAGGGGCGAGTCGCAGTCTTCAAGGCAGGGGCTGATTCTCAGACCATCCGCACTGCCGGCTTGTACGTTCCCATTGAGGTGGATACGATGCGTGGCGACCAAGAGCTCGTTGAGGCATGTCGGGGGCATGATCGTGTGCACCTATGCAGGAGCCTCACCTGTGGGGAGGAAGGCCAACACTTCAAGGAGTACGGCCTCGCTAAGGATTTTGACCCCTGAGAAGTTCCACCTCAAGAACGCTGAGCTTGGGGCGGCAAAGGCGGGGGACTTTGTGGGCGTGGCTTTGGAGATCGCCCCGAAGGTTCCGTTGCCAGCGAAGGAGTTCGCGTCTGAGTCGGAGACAGAGCCTGAGAGACCCTGTGAGGCGGCTAAGGTCCTGTGGTCCGACAAGGATGGTGATCATCGACTTGGGGCGGGTCTCTGCCGCCGTGGGGCTTCAGTGTGCTTCTCGCTCTTGTTTGAGGATCATTTCAGTGAGGCCGGGACGGCCATGCTCTGCCCCCAGCATGCACTTGACTACGAGAGGGACCGCAGACCTCATGCTTGTGGGTTGCGTGGGTGTGACCGTGTTGGCTTCGAGGACGAGGGCGGCTTCAGGCGGTGCAGGCAGCACAGCGGCACGAGGAAACCGGCGAGGCGGCGATCCCCATCGGCTACAAGGCCACGCGAACCAGCAGGTGACGATCCTGAACAACCTGACCTACCACAGCCTCCTCGTGACGAAGGCGACGGCAGGGTCGACTACCGGGACCTTAAGAGGATCCTGACAGAGATCCGCGGCGAGACCACCGAGGCGGATAAGCGGGCCAGGGCAAAATCCCCGGGCACACACCGAAGTCCAGCATACAGCGCAACCTTGCACGTTTGGGCATGTTGGACTCCCCCGCCAAGGATGACGTGCCCTTGCTGGAGGAATTTTTCCATCAGTTCGCAGAAGGCAAAGAACTTGGCCTTACTGAGGAGGAGGTCCGCGAAAACTTGGCTCGGGAACGTGGTCTTCCTCTACGTGATCTTACGGCCACTTTGCTGAGGCAGGCCGCTTGCGAGCAGGAGAAGGGCCAGAAAGGACTTACGAAGTTCATTCGAGCTTGGCAGCGTGGTGGGACAGCGACTACGTCTCCGTCAAGTTTGCCTCGGTCGAGCGCGGCCCCGTCCTGGGACCTGGTGGAGGGAGCGGCTTTGAGTCAGACACCGCCGTCGTTGAAGAGTTCGGAGGTTCTCCCCAGCCTTTGAGGATAGGGCTGCCCACAATCTATGGCATGGAGGACAGGAAGGCGGGGGCGGCAGTGTCCGGAAGCGAGGGCGCCATCAAATCTCAGACGGCCGAGATTGCCTCGCTGGTGAAAAGCCACACGGAGAGCCGGTTCCCCTGGGACGGTCAAGGGCCTGACTCGGTCTTCGGAGGAGCTGGTCTTTTTGCTGCGTGCTTGCAACCAGTACCAGGTCGTGGTGGGCGCGGGAGAACAAGGCCAGGCACTTGCCAACGCGCTGATCTCAGCTCAAGTCGGGGCGTCCACAAAGTTGCGGAAGGCGGGCTTTAAGCAGAAAGTCACAACCCGCCTGGCTGTGGGGCTGGCGGGGCCGTATTGGGGTACCCAGGAGAAGCACGCCCTTTCAGTTGCAGACTTTGTGCCCCATACGGATGCGGAGCTCGACGCCTTTGTGCAGGAGGTGCGGTCGAACCGAGTTGGTGCAGATCAAAGCCATCCCCTCCGACCCGGTTTGATGACTGGGAGGCCAGGGCACGTCGACAGAACGATGTGTGGGCGCTGGTCTATGGCGCAGAGTGGAAGCCTGTTCGGGATCATGCCCTGGACAAGCTTGCTGCATGGCACCTCGCCGAGCCCCACAAATGGCCTTTGACCGTGATCTCGGAGGTCTGGGAAGAGTTGCATTGGCGTTTCTTCGAGGAGCTCAAGGAGACCCTGCGGTTGTTGAAAAAGGAGGCAGGACGCGAGACCATGTCGTTGCAGGACATCAAGTTCTACGCCCTGATGCCCAACGAGTCCGGCACGGCCTGGCTGGAGCTCCCGAGGACATTCGACCTGCTCAACCCCGATGGCTGGTTCAACACGGAGGTGCTCCCCAGAATCGAGCGGAGATGGGAAGGAGGCCGAGGTGGAAAGCCAAACCCGTCCATCCATGCAGGCGGCGATGGTGAAGCATCGCAACCTTCAGCTGGGGGAAGGCCAACGTTGCGAAACTTGCGGGGGCCCAAGCTGAGCACCGAGGAGATTGCCAAGGCCAAGGATCGCGCTCCCGTCGACAAGGACGGGATGTTACTGTGTTGGGGCGCTCTCACCCACATGGGCTGCTCGAATGCCTCTTGTCAACGTTCCCATGCCGGTCTCCAAGGAAAGCTGGAGGCGTTGGACCCTTGCGTGCAGATGCAGCTACTTCGGCGCGGTGGACTTCGACGCATCAAGGCGGAAACCAAGGAGAGCGCGGCGGAGAAGATCAAGGCGTTGAGGGCCAGCGTCACAGCCGACAAGGTGGCGAAGGTCGCGGACGGACGCAAGGCGGGGGACGACGAGCCCAAGGCCAAGACTAGAGTCGGCGGTGAGAAGACGATCCAGTTCCACGAGGTCCCGGAAGAGTTTGAAGCCGTCGACTATACGGCCGCGGAGTCCGACACGCAAGCTTACCTAGAGGTCCGGATGACACTTGGCTTCAGGACGACGGTGTCCCTGGAACTGTCTGGGCGGAGGCGAAGGGTGAGTCAGCCCCCGCTGAGGCCAGCGACCTTGTCAAGAGGGCCAAAGAGCTGGCCACGGGCCCGGTTTTGGGCCAACTTCATGGGGCTTCTGATGATCTGTACGCATGGGCGGCGGCTAGGGTTGCTCGGCACCCCACTGCTAGTTTGGAGGAGATCCTCGGCGACATGGCCACGTACGGTTTGGGTGACTTGGCGGAAGAGGCCTCACGCATTTTGGAGGAGTCTGTCGGGCACAAGGCGGGGTCCAGCGGTGGCATACAGGTGTCGGACACCACGTGGACGGTCGGAGAACCAGGCGCGGGCACGGCGACGATCGAGGGCGTTGTGTGGAGGACCTGGAACTACAGGGAGGACATTTCCATGTCGGAGGAGCTCGCGGGCATGCTCCGTCAGCCGGATGAAGGGCCAGAGAAACGTCAATGTGTGACCAAGGCGGTGGCAGCGGGCGTGGCTTGGCGGCTTCTAGCTCGACAACCAACGTTGGACGAGGCAGATGGCAAGGCCCTGGACTTGCGATGCGATATGGTCAGGCAGGCCTTGGAGGCGGTGGCGGTCATGGGTGAACCCGCTGCCCGTGTCGCTCCTATTGAGAGCGAGTTGCGAACCTATGCTCACGACATTGTGCGGGCCAACCACGACAAGGACTTCAGATCCCTGGCAGCTTTCCCTCTGGCTGATTTGGAGGAATGCAAGCTGGTGGTGGCGCGGGCCGACTACAAGGGCGACGTGGTCGTGGAGACGGTGACGGGCACGATGTGGCAGCCCAATGGCTGGGTTTTGTGGACGTTGATCTGGCGTGGGCACATGCTACTGCTTGAGCCGCCCGCAAGCTTGCAAGCCGGAGTGTTCCTGGAGCGATGGCAGCCACATGATACACCTGCCCTAGGCTTTCTCTTCTTCTGACACTCTCGGCATGATCAAGAGCGCACAGCCCCAGGCATTCCTTTCTGTCGCCTTTGCCGTGGACGAAAAGCAGGTGACTTGGAGCATGGGCCGTGCAGACGCACCAGCAACCTGGCGGCCGCAGCCATTGTGGGGTGCATTAAGGCCGGGTCAGTGCAGCGTGGTCTGGGGCGTCCAGTTCGGGGTCATGAGCTTTGCTTCCAGGAGGTTTTTGCGGGGGGGGCGGTCCTGTCAGCTGCTTGGCGCGACGCAGGGGTGAAGGTGTTGGAGCCGATTGAGGTGTTCGAGGAGCCTCATCTTCGACGTGGATATCGCGAATCACGATCTGCTGCGGCCGGAGGTGCAGAAGCGCTTGATCGTGGGGGCCAAAACGGGACCAGCCAACATCTTGTGGATTGCATCGCCGTGCACCAGCTTCTGCGATTGGGGGCTCCAAAATGGGGGAACCCGTTCCTTCGACCGTCCGGAGGGTGGCTCGCAAGGGCGACCGTTGAAGGAGGCGGAGGTGGACGGCAACGCGCTTAGCAAGGTAGGCGCAGAGGCTTTCTTGTCCGGTTTGTTGCACGGGGCATTCCCAGTGGCCGAATCCACAGCGAGGTCGGGGCGCTATCCCAAAATGTGGGACTTGCCCTGGTGGCGAGAAATCCTGGCGCGCCCTGACGTGGACTTTGTCGAGTTTCCCAGTGTGCCTTCAACTTGGGCCCTGCGGACGAGGATGCCGCCTTCTACCACCACAAGACACGCTTGGTCTTCCCAAAGAATGAGGCGGTGACGGCTGCGTTCTCCAGGCGATGCCCAGGCGTTGGCGGTGCACATCGGCACGTACCTCTCAAAGGTGCTCGGCCGGGATCTCAGGTGACACATTGCACGGAGGCCGGAGTGTACTCAGCAGACTTTGTTCGGACGGTGGTGCAGACATTGCAGCAGGCCTTGAGTTTGGGGGGCGGGGCACGTTTACAGCTTCAGTCACATGGTTCAGCCGCAAAGGCGCCACAGAATCCCGTGTCAGAAGTTCAGCGACAGGGTTCATCCGCAAAGGTCCCGCAGAATCCCATGTCAGAAGTCCAGCGACAGGGTTCATCCGCAAAGGTCCCGCAGAATCCCAGGTCAGAAGTCCAGCGACAGGGTTCATCCGCAAAGGTCCCGCAGAACCTCGCGCCAGAAACCCAGCGACCAGCTTCAGGTGGTGGAGGGCCAAGTGAGGAACGTCAGGTGGGATCGACGTCCGAGGAGGAGAAGTTCTTCCACGAGCTCGATCAGGAGAACGGCTGCATGGACTTTGGAGGTCGTGCTGGGGGCCAGTTTTCTTCAAGCTTTGGTGACGTTGAAGGTCGTGCCGGGGGTCATCTTTCTCCAGGCTTCAGTGACAAAGGTCGGGCCGAAAGGCGAAAGGGTGGCTTTCGTGCTGACGATCGAGGTGGTGACGAAGGCGGTGCCGGAGGGCGAGCAGTTTCCATGAAATGGTGGGAGGAAATGGACGACGACGAGATCATGTGCTTCGACGGGCCCGTCCAAGGGTGGGTCTATGGGAACGCCCCAGAGGAGGAAACACGAGCTGGCAGCGTCGACTACGCAGGCTTCTACCAGGCCCCAAACCAGAAAGCCAAGCAGGCAGCGGAGCTCTACATCGAGGGCGTGGCCGAGAACAAGGCGGGCACTCCGATGGCATGGGCCGTGGCTCAGGAACGGGGCAAGGAGCTCGCGGCGGCGGCGGGGTCGGTCCGTGAGGCAGCGGAGAGTCTGTGGCAGGTCCGTGAGGAGCGTGGCCTGAACAACCTGACAGGCGTGGAGGACCCCTACTTGGACACCGTGCTCCACCCCGACTTGCTTGACTACCTGCAAGAGGTGAGGAAACGAGGCCTGGCGGCAAGATGTGTTGACGAACGTCTTGGCGACCGGCAGAGATGCAGGGCACGCATGCACCCGAACGGGAGGCGGAACCTCAACCAGGTCTACAAGCAGATTTGGAAGGATGTTCACAAGCTCCGTGCGCTGGTGGTCCCCGCGAACGCTGAAACTTTGGGCCCGGTGGTCTCCAGCCCCTTCGACGCAGTGGATAAGATGCTGCCGGATTCTGTGGCACCAGAGAAACGCATTGTTCATGACCAGCGGGTCATCAACGCCTCCACGGACAAGGAGTGGCATCCCCCTGCCATCCAACCTCGGCACGAACAAGTGGCCCGACTGATTCTTCGACTCAAGAGCCGTGTCCCGGGAGTGGAGGTGTTGCTGAGCACATAGCGGGTGCCTTTCGTTTGTTATGGCTTGATCCCAGAGATGCGGAACTCTTTGCAGGTGACTTGCCGTGGGCGCCCGAAGAGATGGAGGACGGCGATGGCCAGGCGAGTGGCGAGGAGATGACCGTGATCTATTTGGTCAGCTCCTTTGGGTTTTCAGGTTCGCCGGGTGAGTGGACTGTGTGGGGCAAGGCGACCGAGCTTTTTCTGCGGGCCCACCGACCAAGCTGTCCTTGCAGGGATCTGTTGTGGAAGTTCGATAGCCGCATCCTGGTGGATGACAACGTGCTTGTGGAGCCCTGGATTGGTCTGAGGCCATGGGTGGCGTCCGAGGTCTACGAGACCGGGGTCAAGGTGTTGTTGGGCGAGGCTGCCGTCAACAGGGATAAAGACCTTCTTGAGGGGCCGTTTCGCACGTTCCAAACAGTGTGGGGACTCGATATGCAGACGACGACTGAGGAAGTTCACTTGCCTGAGAGGAGGGTGCTGAAAGGTGCCTGTTTACTAGCCGATCCATGCTTCGATTATGGCTGCAAGGACATCACTCTTCGAGCTGTTCAGCGCTTTCGCGGAGTGGCGACTGGATGGGCGGTGGTCGTGAAAGGCTTGCGCAACGAGCTCAAGGCAGCGGACGTGTTCCTCGGGACGCAGGGCGACGGTGGCACCAAAGTTCGGCCGAAGGTGGACGACCTCGTGGACGAGGATGCGATTGAGGCAGCGTGGAGAGACTTGTGGGAATTATTCGAGGAGGCGAGGCGGTTGTGTGCGAGGCCCGAAACCTGGCCGCAGAAGTTCGGGGCCGGGATGCGAGAGCTGCTACCAGTTCGTGAACGGCTGGCGCTTCCAGGCGAGTGGGCCGATGGCACGGTTTTCGTCTCGTCAGACGCGACCCGCAAGGTCATCGGGGCGATCGATTGGACCAACGGGCTGGTCATGCGCATGAAGGCCAAGGCGGCGGCATGTTGGGTTCAGAGGCGCAGCTCCGAAGACGATGTGGCGATCCATGTGGCGGAGATGTTGTCCTTCATCGCTTTCGCCTGTCAGGTGGGTGACCAATGGCGTGGCCGCGTGGTGCTGTATGGTGGCGACAACCAGGTCGTGAGGGAGTGGGTCACCAGCCGGAAGGCCGGCACTCCGAGTGGACGCCTGATGGTGCGCATGGTGAACTTGCTGGAAATGAGGTTTCGCTTCACGCTGGTTGCATCGTGGTGGAGAACCTTTCATAATGTGCATGCTGACAGGATCACCCGATGCAGTGACGAGGAGTACGCTCGGCTGGTCAAGGAGAAAGGGTGGTGCGAGGTCGACATCCACGAGGCGCTCCAGCAGGCGGTCATTGACTCCGAAAGGTTTGGTCCTTGTTTGTTGGCATGGGATGAACCGGATCGTCATGCGTTGATGCCGTTGAAAGAGCGCCGCCTGCATAGGTCCATCCCAAATTTCCTTCGGCCACGCTGGGAGCTGTTTGAGGCGGTCGAGCTCGGAGGCCCTGATGGCTTTGTGTTCGACTTTGTGGAGGCGATCCATGCGGCAGGCGGCAAGGCTCGTACGGCCGGTTGGCGAGGTCCTGTCCATCGGGGTGAAGTGGCGCTGGCGTCGTTTCCACCTGATCAACATGGGAAAGTTTGCTTGCCGGCGACCACCACTGCCATTGAAGGCGGCGCAGGCCTGGTCGTGTTCGAGGGTCCCCGGGCGGTCCCCTGGAATCGCATCATTGACGCCTTTGAGGGCCAGTCATGGAAAGTGACGACGGGGGAGTTGGGGAGGCGGCTGCCAGGCGACGGGTGTGCGTCGGCGCACTGCGAGGTCGAGGGCGCTCTTGGTTCAACTACGTCCAGGGGGAGGTTGGCGGCACCGGCAAGTGCCTGCGCACGAAGGGGAGAATGTTACTTGGATTTTCCCAGGCCGAACTGCGATCGACGCCGGCATCCCCCGCGAACCTCTTCTGCCGATCCTCAAGGGCCAATACTGGATCAGCGAGGAGCGCTTCAACTTGGTCAGTTCGAGTGGTCCGATCCGATGGCCGTTGCGTGAAGGTGAAGGGGTACAAAAGATCATCGTTCATGACCCGCGCGGACCTCCAGGAGCTCTCCAAAGGCTGGCAGGAGTTGAGGTGGCGTTGCGAAGGACGGACACAGGAGGGCTGGCGCGGGCTGCGAGATGCTGGCTACAAGGAACAGGAGATCCTCATCGAGGGCGGCAAGGCCACGGGCGGGCAGACAGCCCAAGCTTTGGTGTTGATGGCCGGCTTCCTCGTGACAAGCGACGGACCACGTGCGGGAGCTCACGATGCTTGGGATGACGAGGGCATCGACAAGCTCCTGCGCTGGCTTCGACGATGGAGGCGAGGACTCCTACCCCGAGCACACGATTCAGGACACGGCCGACGAGCGGGTGGTGGCGAGCTCAAGAAAGAGGGTCGTGTGGCTGTGGGGCGAAAGCTTGTGGGCGGAGGACTCCGACACAGACGACCACGAGTGTGACCACCGAGGGCGAGCTGGAGGCCAAGCCGGCAAGGAGCGCAGGTTGCGAGCGACCGAGGCGGTCGGCAACGCGGCCATCAACGACGTCCCCATACATAGACATCAACCCCTCCTGCGGAGAGGTCGGCGCCCAGGTCGAGGAGTGGATCGCCGACAACCTGAGCGGACACCTGGCCGAGAGGACTATGCGCCAGTACGCAGGTGTCTACAGCAAGTGGAAGGCATGGGCCCGCAGGCAGGGTTGGTTGTCCGAGTTCATGATCAAGGACCAGGGCACGGAGTTCAACGAAGACAAGCTCCTCGGTTTCTTGGGCTACCTGGGCTGGTTGGGGGCGTCCGTGGCGACCATGAAGCAAGCGGTCTTCGCTATCAAGGAGGCTCATAAGAGATATGGCCATGGAGACCCCACCGAGCACATGTTCAGGCTGTGGATGTTGCTGGGCACCCTGGAGAGGAAGTACCCAAAGAAGGCTCGCAGACTTGGTGTGACACCCGGGATGCTCCAGTGGATCCACGAGGTCATGACCAACCCTGATGCCGGGCCGGAGGAGATCCTGGACGCCGCAATGCTGGAGGCTGCGCTGCTGACAGCTTGGTTCTTCATGCTGAGGGCCAAGGAGTACTGTGACTCCAACGGCCTGGACTTCGCGATGGTGCTCGGAGGCGTGGACATCCGCTTCATTGAGGAGGCGGGTGTCGACGGCAATGAGATTGTGGGCATCACGTTGCAGTTCCGCAAGACGAAGACGGACCAGGAGGCCTTTGGGACATGCAAGACGATGTACCAGTCGGGCATCCAAGGGCTGTGTGTGGTCGTGGCGTTGTGCACTTTGAGGAGGTTGGCCCCACAGCGCTTTGGCAATGGCAGCGAGGCTCTCAAACCTTTGCTTCGATGGGCGAATGGCCAGATGCTGAAGCGTACTCAGGTTCAGGCAGTGCTTCAGAAAGCTGCGAGGGCTGTTGGGCTCCCACCGGAGCGCTTCCTTTCGCATTCCTTGAGGATTGGCGGAGCTTCGGCCATGTTCCAGGCGACCGGAGAGATCGAGCTTGTGAAGCGGACCGGGCGATGGTCTTCCAGTGCGGTCCAGCGGTACCTCCACGACGGAGAGGTTGCTTTGAAAGGCGTGGCAGCCAAGATGGCTGCTGTGGAACAGCAGATTCACTACACGTGAATCAAATTTTGATGTGGGGCAGAGGGGTCGAAGGCCCATAGCTGACTCACGAGACTTGGAAAGTTTGGCGCAGCAGCAAACGCAAAAGTGAGTGCTGGGCGCCGTTGGTTGCGCTAAAGTGGGAAGTTAGAAATAACTGTAGCTTTTGAGCTGTGCAAGGGTGCTGAAGCGCACGCATGCAGGGCCTTCGGTTCAGAGTTGTTTGAGCCCACCCTGAGCCCACCCGGGGCAGAGGGGTCGAAGGCCCATAGCTGACTCACGAGACTTGGAAAGTTTGGCGCAGCAGCAAACGCAAAAGTGAGTGCTGGGCGCCGTTGGTTGCGCTAAAGTGGGTATATAATTTATATAGTTCCCCCAATATAGCAACTTAAATTAAGTTCCTTAACAGCAACCCAGTATACTATAGCATGGAGGGAATTCTACTAAGTTGTAGAAGCAGTAGCGGCAGAAGACGAAGAAGCTTCGCTGTCTCTTCCAAAGAGAACTAGCCTCGGCGCTAACTTGAAGCAAAACCCTAAACTCATAAACCAAGCCAGCAATGTAGGATTGCTCAAGTGCAACTCAGGTGATGACTCAGAACCCGCGTGCTGAATACGATGTTCTTTGCCGTCTCCGCTTGTCCTAGGTCACTATCAAGGTGAGAGGCAAATGGGTCTGCTGAAGTTGGCAGGCTCAAGAGTAGCTTTGCCAAGAAGCGGTCCTAGCCAGTCCTCCCAGCCATATTGCATTATATTGCTTTGTCACACGATCTTTTCGATGAAAGGTGCAGGTTGTGCAGGTACAGATGTGTCATGTTGTGGCCAACATCGTGTAAGAGGTTAGCACTGCGCAGCAATTTGCCAACATCAGTTTTGAAGTTGGCGCTGCAAACACATCGAAGGAGAGAATCGTTGCACGGCTTTGCACTGCGCAGCAGTCTGCCGACATCACTTTTGAAGTGGGCGCTGCAAACACATCAAAGGAGAAAATCAAAGAAGGGTGCTGCCAATTAAAGCGACATCAACACATCTTGCGACCGTGTCGGCCTCGTCTAGTTGACGGCTATACTTAGTACAGAAAGCACCCCTCCCAAGACCCTGACGCTAATTTGGGCCAGGCACAGTTCTGCTTGCATCTCACGGCCAAGGTCATTTCAGGCCTCCACCCTGCAAGCCAACTAGGATAAGAAGTAAGGCACTAACAGAACCCTTCCCATCCAAAGCATAGCTTATCGTTTCTTGAAGACCTTGAGTCGTACCACTCACTGTTGTAGTCGTGGACACGGTCTCCGTGGTTTTGTTTGCTTCAATGTTGGTAGCAGTGACCGCTGTTGTTGTTGCTGTTGCTGCTGCTGTTGTTGCTGTGGTTGTGGCTGTGGCTGTGGCTGTGGCTGTGGCTGTGGTCGCGGTCGTGGTCGTGGTCGTGGTCGTGGTCGTGGTGGTCGTCGTGGTGGTCGTGGTCGTCGTGGTCGTCGTGGTCGTCGTGGTCGTCGTGGTCGTCGTGGTGGTGGTGGTGGTGGTGGTGGTGGTGGTGGTGGTGGTGGTGGTAGTACAGTAGTAGTAGTAGTAGTAGTAGTAATAGTGGTAGTAGTGGTGGTAGTAGTAATAGCA